TGTCTACCTTCTGAAGTTGTCTCCCACTGGTACAGTATTATCTGACCCCTCCAAATATACGGCCCCACATGCACACTCACGTAAATACTATATAAATCCATTATTTTTCAGATACGTTTTTCAATCTGGTCCTTTTTGCCAGCTCTGTAGAAAAGCTGCTCTGACATCCCAGTGTTTGCGAACAGCACAACATAACAGTCAAATTAAAATTCCTTCGAGATGTCATTCGAACTTGACTCTTAAGTGTATTAAGAGGGAGCCGAATACCTTTCCCAGAATGTATTTTGATAATTATGTTGTGTTCCCAGATGGGTCCACTATTAAAATCAGATATCATGAGCCTAGATTAGTTTTTAAGGTAGGTGAAATCCGTTTGTTTAGAGTTTTTTTTTTCATATTTAGTATATATTTCAAATTGTTTGTTATTGACTTAAACAGTGAAGAAGGATTAATGTAAACCATGTTTTAAAGCAGATGGACAAAATAATGTCAAAGAGAACAGATAAATGTCTCAGGTCTATTTTCTGTAATTTTAGAAAAAAAAAACCTAAAATTGTCTTTATTTTGGTTTACTCACTTGTATAATGTCTTTTGTCGTTTTCCTGTTTTAGCTGCCTTTTGACCTAAATTCACTATCTCCTGAAGAGAAAGAGATGCATTTATCAGGAATGAAAAAGAAAGTCAAGAAGAAGAAAAAGAAGAGGGTGGTTGAGGAAGATGTTCAATTTGATGCTTCAGACTATATATTTAAAAAGAAATAACCTTTGCTCCTTGTGTGGTCAAGTCAGAAAAAAGTGGAGAATTGTACCAAACCAGAAAGACTTTTCATACTATTTTGCTTTTCACTTGTCATGCATTACAAGACATTTATAGACCAATTTTGTAGCTTTCAAGACATTGGGATATGATAAGCCATGGATCCCGGAACTAGGTATAACATTTTTGCAAACAGTAATTATATTGTTTTGACTAGCAATGTAATGTTCTCTTAAGGAGAATTTTGAGTATATTACTAACCAAACTGCATACTGGTAAGTCTGAAGTTGTTAACTTAAAGTTGCATGCATGAATTTGCAAAGTTTTATGCAATTATGCTTTATAAAAGTAAGAGCCGTAATAGATTTCAAAAGTTCCAAATATCTTTAACAAAGAAAAGTCCATGCCAAAAAGCACCTGCAGCAGAAAATGCTAATTTGCAAAAGGTCAGAAGAAAGTCGAAAGTAAAGATTAAATCTATGATATGTTGACCTGTTTGGTGCTGCACATAAAAATAGTTAATAAGAAGCTCCTTATTTCTTTCTTGAATGTTGCAAACCTCAAGGCATGAAGTTATGCTTTTATGTTAAGAAAAGGAATAATGATAACTGCTGTGTGTGCAAGGATGAACTTTTATTATAAAATAGTAAAGCAATTAAAGCTCTTGATGAAATGTATCAAAGTGAACATTTCTGGTGTCTTTGGACCAAGTGCAGTACATGTATTGCAGTTGATACAAAAGAAAATGACAAACTTGACAGTGAACATTCTGTGATTTCCTGAGCAAAAAGAATTTACTACATCAAAATGAAGACAAATAATGAGATAATATCTATAAAAAACATAGACACTTATTTACAAAATTCTGTTATTATGAGTAAATGAAAAAAGTGTGGTCCTCTAAAATGGTTAACATAGTTGACTGTTATCCCATACACTGGAATTTGAAATGAAGGACATTTTGATTAAATGCAATAATCTGTGTAAAAAAATTATAGAATATTGGTAAAATTAAGCAAAAAATGACTTAATTAACTTCAAATTTTAGTCTAACATTTTTTACCTCGTGTCCTGTCCCAATTAAACATTATTATCAGTTTGAGAGTATAATATCTCTGACAGTAAAATATGAAGTATTTGTACACCTGTGAAACATTGAAGTAAGTTTACTATATTGGAGAAAGAAGAAATACATCTATACTGACCTTGGTCAGATACTACTACATGAAATCTGGGACCAGTACATTTCTATATGCCAGTTGAACTTAAACTATGAAATATAAGTGAAAACTTGTATTTGCTCAGTTGCAATGGGGACAATGACAATTTGAACCAGCTATAATTTTAACTTGAAACTTAATTACAATCTGATAATTCCAGAGCAAGGTAATAATGACGATCTCTTGGCATAATTTCAGTCATCTAAAAACTCTGTCCTTGCTTGTTTGTACATGTTATGATAAATTTTCCTGCAGTTGTCCTCGAACAATTCTCTGTGAGACTTCCCAGTATACTGTGATGCCTTCTGTGTCCAGTATTCTCCATTGGTCAAATGGACAAGGCTATAAGGAAAAAAAAGAAAAAAAAACATGATCATGGTTTTTAATCTCTTTGTATAATGCTGAAACATTTCTGTACACAATTTTTTAACCACAATTATATTGGTGTTACTTGTCTGAGAAAAAAATGCAAAAAGTAATTTATCTACCATTTTTATTAAGCCAATACAACTGTGAAGCAGATAAAATCAAAAGTGGTCTTTACTCTCATTATATAATTTTAAAAAAAATAGCTAAATATACATTAAAATGAATTATTTTGGTGTTAATTTATTGATAAAATTATTTTATACAACAAAACTAAAACTATCAGCTTAACTGTACAGCAGTAAAAGATTCATTTAATTATTTTTTCTACTCTGATGTATTATTGTATTGAAAAAATTGTGCTGAACAATTGTTAGTCTTATAGTTTACATTGATGTTAGTAATTTTTTTATAATATTTCCCAAAGAGAGTTTCATCTTAGGGGTTGTTCTCATTATAGAACTTGAATATTTTTCTGTGTATCTTATTAGTGGTACACTGAAGTAAGAAATGTTTCTTCTATTTTATCAAATACTGTTTTTCTTCATCT